CTCCACCCTCATCACCTAATCACCCCCCAGAGACCCCACCTTCAAACACCATCACACTGAGGGTTTAGTTTTCAGCGTACGGATTTTGGGGAAACAAACAGTCTATCAAAACGGGCTTTGAATCAAGTCACTTCCATGACAGGCCTACCGGTAACTTCTAACCCAGACGTTCAGGGCCTCCTCTGGCCAAGACGTTTAATCTCCATACTACTTAGTTTCCTTATTTGCCAAATGAGGCCAATGTGTATATATATGTGTATGTGTAAGTGTGGATACACGTGTGGTATATGCTTGTATGTGTATATATGCCTGTGTGTAAACATGCATATTATATATGTGTGTGCATATTTATAAGCATATGTATTTTATATGTATATGTGTATATACATGTCTATAAATGTGTGTTATATACACACACATAACATACATGTTTACACACACACACACATATATAGTATGTGCTTGTGTGAATGTGTATATTACAGAATTACTGAAGATTAAACAGGAGAAGGAAAAAAGAAGTTAACTGACATGTATGGGAGGTCGTCTTTAGCCAGCTTCTAAACTTCTTACTGCAGCCTGAGGCTCTCGTGGTTTCCTCTGTGTTGTAAGGGAGGGACATCATGGAGGGTGAAGAAGTGAGGCTCAGTGAATCTTGGAAGATGAGTAGAATTTCCAAGACAGTGGACGGTAGAAGAGTTTTCTGTGTGGAAGAAATAGTGTGTTTAGTAACTGAGAGCATGGTGTCATCAGCAAACTGCAGGTGGCTCTCTGTGACAGGAGCACAGGATGGCAGTGACACTGTCAGGAGGAACCTGATGGTGATGAAGGACCTCGTGTGATGTGACGGGGGTTAGACTGACCCTCTAGACTGTATGGATGCTACTGATGGGGTGGTAACTGGGAGGTGACGAGATCTGGTGTTGGCAGCCCATGTGGGTCATTGGGGTTTGTACGATAGTGAATAGTTTATTAAGTCATTCCTAACAAAGACTTCAGTGGTCCCCAGTCGCCCAAATCCATTACGTGTTATCCGGGGGTCACCCCAGTAAGCTCCAGCGCCCTGCCCAGCTCCCGGCTCTCTGCCCCGGCTGCCCTGTACCTGCCCCGCACCCAGGCCAGACCGGGCTGCTTGCTGCCCTCACATGAGGTGGGGCCGATGTGTTTGCTTTTACATTATTGTAGGACATCATTTGTGACCCCGAGCTCTTTGACACATTGATACGTAACAAATGAGATTCTTTTCCCTCTGTCACGCTGTCTGTCCTCCCAAACCAGGGAAGCTCCTTTAGGCAGAAACAAATGATTTCAACCACCTTTGACTTTTTCCCACAATGATGAAATAACCTTGCAACACTACCAAGAGTTGAAAAATGAGTCATTACCAAGAATGCTTGCAGTGCAGCGTGTCCAGAGTGATCTCGCGTGGTTCCCTGTGCTTGTCTTCATGTGCAGACACGTTTATGTGGCGGGCACCGTGATATATACACACCCTTGTTTATTTCCTTGCATTTTTATCAAATTCAGTTTTTGGAGGTGGTGACATATGCTCACACTCCTCAGTGTTAATGTCAGTGTAGCCACTGTAATGGGTGGACTCAGAAATGGATGGTTGCTTTTCCCTCTTCCATTTCCTAAATAGATCTTTAAGGAACATTCTTACTTTTTTTTTTTCAATTTTATTTAGGAGTGTTCCCTTAAGCTAGATTTATGGAAAGGGATTGAAAAATCAAACGATTTGGGTAGTTTCATGACCCCCGAAGCCTGTCCCATATGATTTTCTGTCACTGCCACCAGGACATGAGAAGTTGGACGTCCCTCTGACTCCACAAGTATTTGCTAAATTGCCCAGTGTGCTCTCATTTTTAAGTTAACTAAAAACCACAGTTTAATGTTAATGATTCCCTGTTTCTTTTTTTGCCCTTTGTTTGATGTGTTTGATTTTTGCTTTGTTTTGTTTCTGTCTTTCTAGGCTTGTGGCTCATGCAGAAATTGAAGAAATCCGGGTCCCTTTTGCAGCTGACCTTCAGGGATAACACAGATCTGCGCAAATGCTTCCTCTACCAACTAAGCCAAAAAACAGGTGCGCGGCCCCCTCCGCAGCCCCGAGAGGCAGCAATGCGTGTGAACTGGAGATCCCACCCCCCAGACCCGGATTAGCGTCAGCGCTAGTTCACTGGCTCCTGGAAGGGCGGAGTCAGGAGGCGCGGAGAGGCCCGCGGCCCCTCGGGAGCGCGGCTGCCCCTGGGCCGTCTGCCCCTGGCCGTGAGCGGCGTCGCCAGGGGAGCTGGTGCGCCGTGCCCTCTCTGCAGCCGAGCTGTAGCCCCCACGTCCTGCCAGGCTTTCAATGTCCCAATGGCACAAGCCCTGAGGTCTGTGCGCAGCTCACAACTCCTTCACCCAGGTGCAGAGCCACCACAACAAGGGGCAGGGAGACACTGTGCATTTCTGTTGACAGTGCTGGGGGAGATGGGGCTTCCTCCCGCAGGCCTGGTGTCACACCTCCTCCCACATTCTGGGGTGAGGACGTGCACACGGCTGTTGAAGACCCTTCCTGCCCTGGGGACGAGCAGGTCAAGCACAGCATGACCTCCCTGTCCACAGAAGGGGCAGAGGGGCTGACCCATTGTCCTGCCCCATCCTGCTGAGGAAGCTTTCCTGGCCCAGGGTCTTGTCTCGTGGTCCACATCTTCCATCAGTTTATAGACACTGACTCTGATGGTACCTCTGCCTCCCTGAATGTGAGCTCGGCATAGCCCTGGGCTGATGATAACTGTGGCCAGGCTTCTTACTCACTTCTGTCTTTGTGTGCTATGCTGAGCCCGCAGGGTATCCCTCCATGGGGAGGCAGGCTTGGGCAGGGCGGGCAGTTGGACCACAACGTGGTCACCTTGGAGATGTCAGTGGGCCCCACCCACTGGGAGCTCGGGACCTGGGGCCGCCCTGCAGTTATCCTGAGTAAGGGCAAAGGGCTAGTGTTTATACCCCTGCCCTGCACCTGCGGGTCACTGAGGCCAGCCAGCTAGCCCCCAGCACAGGGTCTGGGGTTGTGATCCTGGATGAGAAGACTCAATTCAGTGGAGGCAGCCCCGCAGGGTCACTGAGTCCAGGTGGAGGACCGGGGTGGAGCGCTGCCAGGCCTGGAGATCCCTGGTGGGCTCTGGAGGCAGAAGGAATAGGCTGGGAGGCTCTGTCTCAGTGCAAGAGACTGATTGCAGGGAGGCAAGGCTACACGCAGGGGATGAGGTCAGAGACTTTTCCTGAAGCAGGTGACACGATCGGGGCTGGAATGAAGGGCACTGTGGGGCTGAGAAGGAGAAGCCCCACACTACATTGACTTCCTTGTGGACCCCGTGGCATTCCCTGCCCAGAAAGGCTTTCTTGCCACTTACGTGTTACTCAGTGTTCACAGTAGCGAGCTGTGTGTCTCCCTAGCTTCCAAGGCCGATGAGGACAAAGCCATCATCTTTCAGCCTCCCAGAGCGGGAGGTCCTCCGCAGCGGCTCAGCCGCCCTGCCTGGTGTCTTCCCCCTTTCCCTCTCTCGGGGGCAAGTTTGTACAAAGTGTGCAAAGCTGAGACTGTAAGTTGAAACAACCTGGATAAAAAGTGCCCACCTGGCTTGTTGCAGGTCTGCAGTATTTTAAAAACGTCGTGCTGGTTGCTTCTCCCCAAGACCGCTACGTGCCATTTCACTCAGCCAGGATCGAAATGTGTAAAACTGCCCTCAAAGACAGACACACAGGTGAGCCGTGTTGCTTTTATTTTTTTTTTTCTTTTCATTTCATTTCACTTCACTTCACTTCATTTCATTTCTTTTTCTTTCCCTTTTCATCTTCCTTCTTCTCTTCTCCTCCTTCTTTTTCTTCTTCATTTTCGTTTTGTGTTTGTCTTCATCTTCGTCTTTGTCTTTTTCCTTTTTTAGTGACTTCCCAATTTGAAAAAGCCAAAGGGACCCGTGAAAATGACTATGCCTATGAGGCACATCTGATGTTCTGCCCAGGGATAGGAGAAAACCCATCTGGTGTTTTTTTTCTCTAGATTCTGCTGCTGAATTCTGCCCCGACCTCCTGTCTGTCTTCCCTCCTTGCAGGACCCGTTTATGCGGAAATGATCAACAACCTTCTCCGCCCGCTGGTGGAAGCCAAGGGCTGCACTTTAGTCCGACACAACGTGTTCCATGCCTTGCCCAACACTGCCAACACCCTGATTGGCCGAGCCGCTCACATCGCTGTGCTGGACTCTGAACTCTTCCTCGAGAAATTCTTCTTGGTGGCGGGACTCAATTACTTCAAGTAGTGGCTTTGGGGGGGGCTCTGCTGGAAACATTTAAGACCCGTGAGAGCTCTGGCTGAGACATCCTTTTACAGACCTCCGTCATTCCAGGGTGGCGCTCAGAGAGGGAAGCACTGAGGGCTGGAGGGTGGGGATAGGACCGGACAGCCGAGGTGCTTTCATTTGGGAGACTGGGGAAAGCTGAACCCACAGTGTAACAGACAACAGACTTTGCCCGAACCTGGCTAGCCACCTGGAGTCTCATTCAAGAAGCTTTCTAGGAAAATTTTGGGAAAAATAAAGAAACAGAATACTTGGAGTTGGTGAGCCCACCTTCCTTGCCACCACTGGCTCACAGGGAGGTCACTCCCATTTAACTAGATTTGTCCAGTCTATTACCAGTCCATAGCTTTATCATGTTTGATGCACACAAGCATTTCAGAACTCAGGTTAACCTCTGTGCAGAAGTGGAACATATTTGTGTAAATATAATCCTCATAGATTCAAATGTGCCACTGGTTCAAGGCAGTGTGTTGCCCACTCTCTCATTTTCTCCTCATGTTTTCTCAACGAGGGACAAAGCGAGGCTTTAGAAACTCCAACTTGATTTCATAACAGCAGTGGGCGGGGTAATTTAAGGTATTGGGGGAGATATAGGCAATGCTACCGGTAAATGCAAGTTTGTTACAAAGAACAGTAACTGGAGGGGAACATGGTAAACTAGCTGCTCCACCTTCTTCTCCAGACTCTTTCTATGCATAGCCCTGGTCCACAGGTTATTTTTGTGATTGCTTGAATCTTTGTCTGCAATAGAGAAGATTGACTGAGCTAAAACTAGCAGAAGGAGGCACTGAGATTAATGCACACATGTGTGAAGCTCCTGCTGATAAACTTCCAAAGACATGCTATGTTAGCATTTGACGCACTTGCAAAAAACTAAGACCATTATTACCATGGCCAGCTCTCCTCTCCGTGCAAGGGGAAAGACATCTCGTTGGAGGAGTGCTGGGTTTCAAACCTCAGGGGAGCTCTCAGAAGGGTGCTGGTTATCTTGCACTGGAAATGTCTTCTTGCCTTAGGAAAATAAAAGGGCTAGGAAAGGTCACCATTGATTAAAAACCAATAGACAATGGGGACAAACGTGAGAGCAGAGAGTAGAAGCAGTCAGATCAAGGACTCAGCCCCAGTTGTTATTGGTCGGTGACTTAAGGGGAAGTTTGGAGTTAGCAGGATGTTTAATACGGTCCCAAAGGCTGAGTGCATTTTGTGGGCTAAAGGAAGCCTGCAGAAGTATCATTAGTCGTACTGCAGGGACACATGAGCGAGGACCGTAGGGATAGCTGACCTGGGAGACCCGTCGTCTGGAGGCAAAAGCTCCTGCTGCAAAATTCCCTCCTGAAAGTGTGGAAACTCGTCTGGGACCAGGTTCCTGGGCCGTAAGCTTGGTGATGGTCATGAGTGCCGTGGTGAGAAGCCAAGTGATTCTTGACTCATCTGAGAATTTTAGTTTCTCGTATGTTAAACAATGTGACTTTGGAAAGCAAAGTAGACCATGGGAAACAAGTCCAGGCAGACGACTTTGCAGGAGAGCAGACTTAGGAATTTCTTAAGAAAGGAAAAGGTGGGGAGGGAGCTGACAGACAGACTTCCACGCAGGAGACTGTGGGTTTCTGTGTGTCTTCTTAGAACTCTCAGTGAATCCTAGTCTTGACATGTGTAGAGTCCGTAAGTCCCCTGGTCACTCTGCCACTGGGCATTTTTCCAGTTCCTGGTGGGCATAGCCTGGTTACCTGTGACCCAGGAAGACTTTGAGTCCTGTAGAGCAGCCCATGATGTTGTGTTTCCCGGCCCAGACAAGTGCCCACGGACCGTATGTTTGTAGCAACTTCTGCTTTTTGGCCAGATGAGGAGCTCTGCCCCTCTGGTGAGCATTTCATCTTTGTGTTTCCAGTGCCCATCAGCAAAGTTTGTCATTCCCTGGTCATTTGAAAGACCATGCAGCCAGCGGTTATGGAGCCAGGGTGAATCAATGACCATCGTCTTCTCCAATAACCAGATGCCATTTTTAACGTCAATATGCTGTCTGGACATAGAACTAATGGCAATAAACGTCCAGTCGCATGGTGCACCTCTTTTTTACAGGGGTGCTCTGCTGTCTTTGTAAACCCTCTCTGGCCTCTGAGCATCTATTATAATTGTGTAGAAAGTACATCTCTATATTATAAATAAGAGTGTCCAGTGTTGCGTGTCATGCCTCATTTGAAAAGGCTTTTTTATGTCTCTTTCTATCGAAGTATAGATATATAATATATAGATACACAGAAAAAATATATATGTAATGTAAAACAGGGACATTGTCTAATTGATTATAAAATTATAAACAAAATGCCTGCCAAGAAAATAGTCTAGTATGTCTTCATTCTCAACGTAAATTTTGGATTTTTTGTGGCTTTTTTTAATGAGTTGTTAAGTTTCTCCTTACTATTTAGAAGTAAAAATGACTGATGTTGAGATGAATTGGAATTTGTTGTTCATGAGCCAAATATCCCCAGAGAAGTTGATGCAAATCTAAAGTCATGTTGGGGCAAAATAAATACCTCCATGGCAGGTTGAGATCAGCTGGAGTGCTACGCACCCGGGGAGAAGAGGGGGCACGGACAGACTCTGTTAATTTCTAGAGTCCACAGATACTTACTGAGCAACTCCCACCTGTGCCAGGTGGGGGCCCAGGGATAGAATGCAGAGTCCCTGCCCTTGAAGAACACAAGGAAGATCTGGCCGTGTTATTACCACATGATGTAGTGAGGGCTTTGGTGGGGCACGTGCTGGTGCAAGATGATTCTAGAGGTCCAGTCTTCATTGCCTGGAGGAGGCTGAAAAGGGGGCTTTGAAAGTGAGACTTGAAAAATGAGATACTTCCGTTGCACAGTCTGTTACCACCAAGTGCACTTGCTCATCAATTCATTTATTCATTCAATCATTCATTCATTCAACAAATACGTAATGGGGGCCTGCTGGGTGCTGGGGATGTATTGGTAAGAATTAGGAGTTCACAGTTTAGGAAAGGACACAGTCAATGGGAAATTAGAGCAAGAAGGCCCCAGGGAGGTGGTAGGGATCTGACGGGGCTCATACGGGGGACAGCCAACCTGCACTGGGGATGTGGGGTGGTGTGTGGTCAGGAAGGGCCTTGTGGAAGACAAGACTTGATGTCCAAACGCAGACACAAGGCTGGAGAAGAGTTGGCTGGGGGAAGGTGGGTTGTGGGGGCCTTCAGGGAAGGAACGGAATGAGTGAAAGGTTTAAGATGAGAGAGAGCTGGGAGCCTTGGGTGCCCTGGACAGGCAGATGGAGAATCAATTTGGGTACAAGAGTGACAAAAAGGAATGAGAAGTCAGCCGCCATGCGGGATTTTCTTCTTACGTCAGGAGGAAATCTCCATGGTTGACACTAGTAGGAAAATTTCTGCTCGGTAATGAGGGTCCTGCCGGAGAGCAAGGTCCACCCCCTGCCATCACTTCACTCTCCAGGGTTGTTGAATTGGAAGCATACCCTTGAGTACTTGCAAAGCCCCAAATGGAACTGACACTTTTTCTGCCACGCTGTTCTCTGACTTCACAGTGTTTACTTCTGAGCGTTGGCAATCACAGGGCTGCCGTGTACAGGTGCACAGGTTGTGTAAAAAAGAAGAGTGGTCGTGGCAGTGAACACACAGAAGAAGAAAGCTGTGCTTTCTTACTTCGTTCTTACCAGGTGTCCATCCCAATATCCTTAGGAAGAGTGGATGGTGTTCTTTAATAAGCCAAGCACCACGTCCTGGCGTCTGGATCAGTTTTTTTCCCCTGATTTTTTTCTCCTTTAATTTTTCTTTCCATGTTTTATTGAAAATCCATTTTATGCTGGGTGTTATAGGAGGCTGTAGAGACATTAAGATACATCGTATAATCCTAAACACTGAAAGGGTCCGGAGCAACGACACAACGTAGTGTTTTATTCTTAGCCGTGAGTTTTTAAATTAAAACCGTGGAATCTCAGAATTGGAAGAGAAACAATGGGTCATTTAATCCAGACTCTGTCTGACCTTTAGCGTCCTGAGCTGTGCTCTTCCAACCTCCGCTGACCCCAGGGGTCTTCATCCAAGTGTGACAAAGTGCGAGTGGTGACATTACTGACAATAGTACATGCATGCGTGCTTTTTTTTTTTAGATGAAGAGCTGTCCCCATGAAGACTTTTCTATACATTCAGGGTGCCTTCTGAAGTCTTTCTGAGTCCCTTCCTCTTTTACCTTTTTTTTTAATGCTTTATTTTCCATGATACCTCTTTATCGTTACACATCATGCCAGAGATACCCCAATAGAAAGCTCTGTGGAACATCTAGAGAAGCTGGACTCTTCCCAGAGATTCTTCTCATGTCAACTGGTAGCAACGCACCTCACTACTCAGTGGACCAAGTTCTGCAAACCGGTTTTAATTTTAGGGAAAAGTGACCCAGTCACACAAAGGGATGTCCTCACCATAGAGAGCGGGGCTGCTAGACCAGATGTAAACGTAAGGATGTGCGGGTTTGTATCTAAACCAGGCTATTTCCCTACAGCTGATCTTTTCACAACCAGATTGTCAAGCGGAGAACGTCTGTGTCTTCATTTCATAGATGTGGCTATGATTATATGACTGTAAGACCCAGTCCTCAAACCCAAAACTTCATGACTCAACACAGATTTCAGAGATTTTTAGAGGTAAGACACACATGGGCTCTCATTTACCTTTTTAGAAACCTTTTTATTGAAGTACAATGTTGTGTCAATTTCTGGTGCACAGCATAATGCTTCAGTCATGTGTATGCATACATACTTTCCTTTTCATATTCTTTTTCATCATAAGTTACAACAAGATATTATATATAGTTCCCTGTGCTTTACAGTAGAAACTTGTATCATTTACCTTATTTTTAACAAATGAAGGAGCAAAGGAATGGAAGAAACATCCAGTGCTCAACTTTGATTTGCTAGGTCGTGTGCCTGTATGATTTCATGTATCCTTTAAAACTCACACAAAATACAGAGGATGTTGGGAGAAGTCAAGTAACTTGATGAAAGTCAGTGGCAGAGTCAAAGTTGGAGCCATGAGCCTCCATTTCCCTCCATTTTATCCTTTGTGCTACAATTCCTCCAACACATAGAAGGTAATAAATTGTGAGAGTCTCACATCTGTTAAAATCAATACTGGAATTCAAGCCTTCATCTCCTCAACCGTAATCTTACAAGTTTTTTTCTTGTCACATGGTCCTGTACAAGGCATCCACATAACCAATAACTTAGGCAGCAGAGGGGAACATAAGTCAGTGGCAAAGGTGGTTTTATGAAGCCCTGTCCATGAGCACGATGGGGTGGCTGGCTGGCCTGTTTGGCTCTGGGTTAATCATCTATGTTTCTCAATCACTGTTTCAAATCCTCTTTCTCCTGCAGCCCAAGGCCGCCCCTCCCTAGGCCCTTCCATAGCTGCCCCAGACCGTGCTCTTCCATCTGCTCTCCCCACATGGGAGTGGCTGGTCAGGCCCACCTGGGGATCAGTCCCTTGTACGATCGGTTTGGAACCTGCCCTCGATGGTCCATGAACCATAGATTCCTGCATCAGGATGAGTCTCAGCTCCATGTCTTGCCATCAGACCTTGGCTTTCTCATGGTTCCGTTAGCCCATTCCCCTTCATTCTTGTGTTCGTGTAGGTCTCCCGCACGTGTCCTCCTCAGAGCAGGAACCACGTCTTGGTTGTCAGCGCCTCCCTGCCGCTCTCCCCAGCGCCGGGCGCAGAGCCGGGGTTCAGCCAGGCAGTGCTGAAGAGGCCGTGCCTCTGGAACGCGGTGTTGTCTTCTTGAGCCTCTCATCCAATGCACAGCACCGGGCTCCCGTGCAGGAGGGGTCTGGCCTCGGCTCATGTTTACCCTCTGACTTCTGTGTTTGCGAGAGAAAAGCAGTTTGATGAGCGAGGACATCATGGTGGTATTTTTCCGTAATGGCAACAGCCACTGTATCTCTGGGGCATACAGAGGGGGATAAGGTCGAGTTTCCTCATCTATAGAACAGGTTTAAAAATGTCTATTTTGAAAGGCAGTTGGAGGGTCTGGATGAGAAAAGGAGAAACAGAGCATCTGGAGCAGTGCCCGTGCCGAGGAAACATCTTAACATTTGGTGGAGGGGGTGGCGGGGCTCAGCCCTATAAGGGGTTTTCTTTATAATCAATCAGTACGTTTTCACATGGCCTCAGAGTGATTCATTAAGTTACCTTGTTTGAAACATTAGGCGTAAGCTTCCAGAAGTCAGAACTTTCTGTTGTGGTTCCAAGAGCTTCCGCGCGGAGTCTCCCAGCTCTGTTCGGCGCGTGAAGGTGTGACCTGTGCAGCAGAACGATTTTCCTGCTCAGGGTGTAAGGGAAGCCGTTGTGGAGGGGAAGGGCTGAGACCTGACACACAGCTGAGAACAACTTTGTATCAAAGTTAAGGAGTTTGGAAGAGTTAATTCTGTGAATGTCACTCAGAATATTTTTAATGCATCAAACTGAAAAGACTTGAACCCTTGGGCTGAAATGTCTTTTCTCCCAAGGTTAAGCTTACTGCATTTGGCAAAATTCCCTATTTCACCTTTTTTGCTCCAAGGAAATTTACTAATAACCCAGGTAGATCTGACCGCCTGTGTGTATGTCTCTTACTTGTTTTTTTTTCAATTTTTTTCTTAAAAGAGTGCACCGCACTGTCCCAACTGCCGTCTTGTTTGTACGGAACAAAATCAAAGTCTGTGGCTTCAATTTCATTCCCAATTTCCCTGTAACTTTCACTTGGATGCACTTCTTTTTAAACAGAGTTTATTTAGTCTCTGCCTGGCTCTGTGCGGAGCCCTGGTGGCTACAGAAATGAATCAGATGGGACCCTGCCATGTAAGAATTTAGAGTCTAGTGGGGGCACTGGACACCCACAGAAGTAGACGAATGTTCACGGAGAGAGAGTAATATGGCCAGAGAACAGATGGGAAACACTGAGAACATTGCCTTAGAAGAGGTCCATCTCCTGATGCTGGCATTCCAGCATCCCAGCAGGGTCTGGATGGAGGAAACCAGCCCAGGGGAGATGCCACAGTGATCTCCGCAGTGCTGCTCGAGCAGGACGTAGAGCTTCCTGGGGCTGCCGACCCCCAGTCCGTGTCAACAGGAAATTAGCAGAAGGAGCTCAGTGGTGCAGATGGCAGCTCAGCCTGTCACGAAGCACCCCGTCCTGCGTCTGTAGTGCAGAGTCTTTGGATGCTCTGTGAATAATCTTTCTACTTATTTTCAAATTAAGAGACAAAAATAGATTATCAGCTATAAAATGGCCCACCAGCGGTGTCCATCAATAGGCTCACACTCGGGCTGG